AAAAAAAAAAAGGCTACATAGTGTTGCTTGTTATCCACTGAAACAATGAAATCATCAGAGCCCTAGCTTTAAACAAAGGGAGAACAAAAAGCAGAGGTCCATAGTGTGGGAATTTGATTTGCATCAAAATAAATAATTTTTTAAAGTAACTAAAAAATCTAAAGGAAAGACTATAAGTTGCCTTGGCCTCTTGTTTTTCCAAACATTTGAGGGATTTATGCACATCTGATACTATCACTGGCTTAAAGCTAAAAGTTAGTGTCTGGGCACTGAGTTAGTAGAGAATGCTGCAGAGAAGTGCTCATAAGACATATTTAAAGTTTCAAAGAGTCTACCAGACATTTAAAAATGCTTAATAAGCAACCAAGCATATTAACCTTGTCATAAATGTAACAATGTGACGATACTTGAGGCAAGCTCTATGCCAGATTTCTAACCAGATAAGGACCTTCCAAAATGTAAAGTGGTTATTGAAAATACTTCTGTAGGAAAAATGATCAGCTTTGAAACAAAAAAAGAGAAATATTTAATGTCCAAACAGGGAAGCAGTTGTATATTTATTTAGAACATTTGCAATAATTAGATAAATTTAAAAAAAATTCTGGGCATTTTTAATTAGGTCTGGTGGGACTCTAAACATTCTGAAAGAGATACAGAGAGCTACAGTTTAATTAAAAGCGTCATTAAAGAGAGTAGCGCTTTACTAACGGCTAGATTTGTTCTATAGTAACCAAAAAAATGTGATGTAGAGTGTTTTGGACGCCTCAAGATCAAATTCCAAAAACTCAGATTATGTACTCACTGAATCCGAGAGCAGCACATGTAAAAATTGCAATGCCCCACCACTTTTATAGGTCTATAATAGGTTGATCAGTCCGTTATATATTATACCAATTGATACCTAGAACCTTATTTGTAATAGATTTGTTTAACCAGGCTTATCTGCATTCGTAGAATGTAAAATTGAAACAATTCCTAATTGATCAGTAGCTCAAAACTTGTCTTGTATACTTATGTATACTTACTTATACTTATTATAAGGTTCAATAAAGTTACTTTACGTTAAACCTGATGTTTTAGGCACCAGTCATCATTTTACTTGCTTCTCTCTTTCACTTCCACATGCACAAAAGTGTCTCATTCTTAATAAAGCAAACTTCCTTTCCTAGTTTTGTAAATATACCTTTTAGGATCCCTGGCTTTGAACCCAGTTCTTTAGTTTTGTGGGTTTTTGATTTGTTTCTAGATTTATAATGTGATTATGCTTTAGCTCTTCATTGCCTAGTCCTTTGGTGTTTAGTATTTTCCCATGTGCTTCCAAGCTTATTTATTTATGTTTCTAGTTCTTAGTTCCTTGGTCTAGTTAATTCCACTTTCGTTTCCAGTCTGTCTTGGTCTCATGCCTCTCTGTCTCCTTAGTGTCTCCTGTAGTCAATCAGTCTTGATCTTTGTGTTAAGTTTACCTAGTCTGTGTCTAGTTTATGGTTTCATTCCAAGTTCGTAATCTGTTTATATTTTCATTTTTCTTCTTAGTTTGTAATATGTACTTATCTTCGTCTGTGGCCCTGATCACGTGTCTGTGTTTGTTTACTCTTTGAGTTTGTAAAAGTTGAGTCTCTGTCTCTGTTTGTTTCTGATCTAATTTTGATAGTCTCTTGTGCCATGTGCTTTGTGTTTGGCTTTGCTTCCTTGGCTCATTCGTCAGAATTAGTTTGCCTGTGTTCCCAGATATGTGCTCCGTTTACCTCCTGTGTGTATTTAAGCCCCTAGTTTTCATCTGTTCTTTGTTGTGATCGGTGTGTCCTGTCAATTTGGAGTTTTGTAGTTAAAATTGCCAAGTTCTTTGTATTCAGTGTCCCTTAAGTCCAGAAATAAAACTTCCTTTGATTTCAGTTAAATGGTTTAAGATATTTTAGTAATAATTGTTATTTAATTGTTATTTTTTTGGAGTGTATGTCAGGAGTTTGTGTATGATTGTGTCAGGCCAGCTAAAATGGCTTATTTCTGCCTTTGTTAATATTTTAACAAAAAACCTCAACACCTGAAAATGAATGCAGTCCTGCATTTATAGGACAAAAGAGTTTATTCTTTAACTCATAACAATAATTTGACAGTAACATAACATGTTTCTCATATTAGAATGTTATTCACAAATTAACCTACTCAGAAGCTACAGCACAGTTAAAGTGTTTTTTAGTGATATGTAGCTCTTGTAATAAAAAGCCACTATTGCTTCCTTCCCTTTGTGCCATGCTTCACAGTGCTTCTCAAACGTGAACTGCAACCTTGTGGTAACTGCTGCCATTAAGACCCCGTAGTTAGTCAGCATCTTTCACTTCCACTACTGAGAGATAAGTTTGGAAGAAAAGAGAAAAACAGTTGTCCATAAACAAGAAGGAGAAAAATAGCTTTGGTATGATTTCCCGTTTTAGCCTGGTGACATCACCAAGATTTAAAAAAAAAAATCAGGAAATGAAACACAAAGTCATCAAAAAGTTCCAAAAAAGTTAAAATAAGACTCACGTTGCATAATATAGCAATATCAGGAAGCTGGCTTTGTGAAAATGTGTTTTTGCTCAACATTCTCACAGCACTGAGTGCTCAGAAGTAATGCCATTTGAAGGGTGGAGCACTGCTGGGTGGAAGTGAAAGAGGTCATCTCTGAACTCAACTGAATAAAGGTCAGCAGAAAAAGAATACATTGAAAAACGCCCAAATACTTTTTGCAATACAAAATATAGTAAGACAATAAGACCCTAGTAGTGAGAAAAGTAGTAGTATTTTGGTTGAGGAGGTTGTGGGTGCTTGCATTATGACTACACTAAGTCTTCAGGGCAAAAAAGTTGAAACCCTATTAGAGCCACTGACCGAGATCTCACAGCATCACTGAGCTGCTTCCTGTTATTCACATTCTCTTTTCACACATTACTATTCTAATAAATAAATAAAGCCAGCATTTTAACATTATAACAATGATCCAGTCTGCTATAGCTGAAGGTTTCCCAGTTGATCTTCTTAACGACTGTGGCTCAAGGGGTTGGGAAGCGCATCTGTAACCAGAAGGTCGCCGGTTCGATCCCCAGGTTCTCTGTCCTGGTCATTGTGTCCTTAGGCAAGACACTTTACCCTACTACTGGTGTTAGCCAGAGGGGCCAATGGTGCGATATGGCAGCCTCACCTCTGTCAGTCTGCCCCAGGGCAGCTGTGGCTACAACCGTAGCTGCCTCCACCAGTGTGTGAATGCGAGAGTGAATGAATAGTGGCATTGTAAAGCGCTTTGGGTGCCTTGAAAAGCGCTATATAAAATCCAATCCATTATTATTATTATTATTACTAATTTAGTGTTAGCATGCAGGTTAATGGATGACGGTGATGGGAATGTTTTGCAAATGTCATAAATGAATCAAAGTATTCATCAAGTTAAAGAAAATTTCAAGCTTAACTGTACCCCATGCAATAGTCTCATGGCCGTTTTCTCAGATCCTGTCAATGAGTCGTTACAGCCATAGCATTACTTAATGTATGAGAAATTTCTGCTTTTGTCAGCTTTACTGGGATGCAAAACTGGACTTAAGCGCAGGGTTCCTCCAATACAGGGAATTTATTTACAATGAAAATGTGCAACAACTACAGTCTTGCTACAACAGGCTTGTCCACAGATGCTTGAGCTGGGAGAAATGAAAAGTGTTATGGATCTTCATATTACACAGCAAGAGTAGATGAGTAAACAAAGGGTTAATCATTGATTGAATCGTGAAAGAGCCAGTATAATAGATGCACGTTTCTTAGATTCAGTTCGCAGTGGGATATTTTCTGCTGATAAATCTGACCTGTTTGATAAGGTGGAGCTGAGATCCTGTGACAGTCGGCAAG